GACGAAGCGGCTCCTCGCGGCGCGCCGCCAGCACGAGCCGCCGCACGCCCCGCCGCGCGAGGGCCTTCCCCGTCTCCAGGCCGATCCCTGCGCTGCCGCCAACGAGGAGGGCGACGGAGCGCTCGAGGGGCCAACGCGGGACGGCCTGCGCCGCCCAGCACGCCGCGAGCACGACGATGACCCCAACAAGCACGAGGAGGTCAACGAGGATCATGGGGCTCAGCATGGACTTCGACAGAGAGAGAGAGAGACAGACAGAAAGAGGTCTGTGACAGACGGACGTGTGTGTGTGCGTGTGTGATCCTTCCTTTTCAAAGTCTTCGAGGAGGTTAAAAGGGCAAGATGTCCAGTTGTTTTCACTACTAATAAATATGCAAAAGTGAAGATGAGAGAGCTTCAAAAGAAAATCAACGAAAGAAAAGACAATTTTGCTGAAACATCACATCAGTAAGCTCGAAAATGGTTCATTCGGTGGGGTGACTATAGAAACAAGGAGCAATCACAGGAAATGCTTGGAAAGAAACATGGTACGATCATTAATCAGGATAAGCTACTAAACATCAATGGTATACAAAGCGAACTAATTGTGCGTAAAAAAAATACAGTGACACTTGGTATTTTTTTAACATTATTTCTCAAGATGTTTAAAATACTTGCAAATCTTAAGCATAAAAAGAATTGAAGTGTGGGTTAATGGGGAAGGCAATGATAAAAAAGGAAACTAACGACTCAATAAACAAGATACTGAAAGAATGTAAAATATTTAGGAGTGATAAAACTACAATAGTGAAGTAATCTGAAGGCGCACTGTGTGTCAATAGTACGCCTTATTCTCTTTTTAAAACTAATAAGAGCAACCAAGAACTGAGGAGCATCATGATCTTGGGTTTGCTTGTTTCAAAATTATAAGCTGAAAGAAACATTTCAACTCACTCGGTCACATATATCTTGTTTGACGTTAAATCAAACAATATAAAGACAGTAATAGAAATCAAGGAAGCAATGATTGATAAGCATAGAGATGTTTCTACGCATTGAGGCTGCAACATCAACCAAGGGGGTGTAATGAGGCGTTCAGCAGAAGGGTAGGAAGACGAACGAAAAGAGTGAAGCCTTTGAAATAGGAGGAAAATTATCGCTCTCTAATTCTTTTCAACACACTTTTCTATGTTTTCTCTTATATGCGCATTTATTCCTTATGATTTAGACCTTCCGTGAACTTCAACGCACCAGAATAAACAATTTAAAACCGGAAAGATGAAATAAATGTTGAAGTAGTGATTTTTGGCAAGTTGGAATAAGCAAATGGAAACAATTTGGTGATGGATTACATCATTTATGTAAGCATTTATATTTTCTGCACCATTTGCTTAATTTTTTTCCCCTTTCCCTCGTCTAAATACCCACTACCTATAAAAATGAAACTACTCATATTATCCATTTTTAAAAACTCTCAGATTCAGTTTTCCATAATTTTGGTATTGATAAATCTTTTGATGATACTAAAAGTGAATCCGTAAGCAAAAAAGTAAGGAAATAGAAAATTTTCGAACATGACGAAAAAGTAGTCGCAATAAAAATACAATCAAACTGACTATAGAAACGAAGCTTTAATGCTAACTATATAAAATCGATTTAACCCTTTACAGGCTTTATCATGCCTTTACTTATTCAATTCATACTTCAAAAATCATAGGCGATGATTAGGAGAAAGGAGTAGCGCAAAGCATGAAGCCACTGTACTACAAAAAAAAGGATCATCTGGGAGAGCCGAAGGGCACAACAATCGATGCACCTGCTATATACTTTTCAAGCACTCCCAAATGAGTTAGAATGATTTGGTATCACATTTCTTAATGGGCAAGCAAATCTTGCTGCTTCTTTTTAGCAATAAAAAAGTTAGACCCCTCATAGTCCATGTAAATGTATTTGCTCAAGTCCTCCATTACATCTAACGTGTACTCCAAATCCTCACGAGTATGCGCGGCGGAAACACAGAACCGAATTCTACCCTCCAAAAGTGACGTGGCAGGATAGCCAACGATCACAATGGCCACGCCTCGTTGGAGGCAGCGTAGGGAAACCTCAGGTAGTTTGGATAAGTTAAAGAGCATAACTGGGATCACTGGGCTAGAATCATCTCCGAGAACTGTGAAGCCACGCTTGATGAGCCCCTGGCGGAAGAAGCTCGAGTTCTCCTTGAGCTGTGCGATTCGCTTCCGCCCCATGTTTGTGCCCTCGTTGCCAAGAATGACATCCAGCACCGATAGCACTTGCTGAGCACACGGCGGCGAGAGCGTATCACAGTACAGGGCTAGCGAAGACTGCACGCGGATGTAGTCGATCACGCTTTGGTCCGACGCGATGTAGCCACCAATGGAGCCGAAGCTCTTGGTGAAGGTACCCATGAGCACGTCGACGTCCTTCGGATCGACACCGGTAAACTCACACACACCGCGCCCCGTTCGGCCGATCGCGCCGATGGAGTGCGCCTCGTCCACAAAGAGGAGCGCCTTGTACTTTTTCTTTATATTCACAAAAGTCTTGAGGTCGACAATCTCACCCTCCATGCTGTAGATCCCCTCCACGATGATCACGATGCGATCCCAAGGCTTGTACGGACCGCTAGGATTTTGCCCAAAGATGATGGCCTCACGCGCCAGTTTCTCAACCTCCGCGTACTCGTTGTGCTTGAAGGGCTTCACCACGGCGCCAGAGGAGCGCACGCCATTCACAATTGAAGAGTGGTTGAGCTTGTCAGAAATGACAAACGTGCCCTTACCGAAAAGGGCAGGGAGGCCCCTGAAGTTAGTGCTAAAGCCCATCCCGCAGACAATGGCATCATCCTTACCGAGGAAGTTGGCAAACGCCTTCTCCAATCTCTCCAACTGCGCATTCTGCCCGAGTTCCTGAGGCGGGCTGCACGATGACAGGCCCTGTTCAGCAAGGCAATCCAGAACGTTCTGTGTGACGATCGGTACGTCATCCGCAAACCCCAGGTAATTGTAGGAGCCAAGGTTGATCGCGGGAATAATCTTACCCGTACGCTGGAATGTCGCATTATCGTCATGTGAAACCCGCTCCATGATCCCAATCACTCGCGACGGGCGGCTGTCTATCGGAATGGCAAAACAGTTGCTGGCGCGACGATAAAAGCATCGATTCCACAGCTCGTCGAAATCCTTTATAAGGGGCGCATACCCTCGTCGAAAGCGTTTATCGGGAGACGAAAAGATTCCGTGGAAAATCTCCTTAAACCATATAATTGAAAGAAATAAAAAAAAGTTTAGCACCGACATGAGTTTAGTCCAAAGCGTTATTTGGTATGTTTTTTTCCGCATAGGGAACTCTGCGGTGCTCGTGTCCTTTTCATTATCCCTACTGTTGGTCCTGAGAGACTCCCCTGACGAAGGATGACGAACATGCAAGGGGGTTTTATTGTCAACAACATCACAGCGCTCACGTTGTTCCTCAGCAAAAACACTGTCCTTTGTTGGCATTTGGATATTCTGTAAGCGCAAGGAGTGCTCCTCACTTTTAGATGTGACACAGGTTGGCATTCGATCAACTTTCTTCGTAATAATAAAATAAAACAATTATAAATGCTCAGATAGATACTATTCACTACAGTATGTAGTATAAAATATATTGTGCAAATGTTTACTTGGTTCGCCTTTATTTTCTAACAATTTAATAAATGCTATGCAGAAATTGTTAACCTTATGAAAAATACAAACAAGAAAGAAGACTGTTAAAAAATATAAAACTATCTTGAAGAAGTAAACATCATATGTATTCAGAAACAGACAAAAAAGTAGTGATAAAAGGAAAAATAAAATGCATGTCCACACTATGGAAATGCCTGATACAAAGAGAAAAAATGCTTGCTACGAAGTGTGCCCCTTACGCGATCAACGCTACATTGAAACTATCTCATATAGTTTTGCTGCCCTTCGACTTTGACAAATATTCTCAGCATGAGCTATCCGCCACCGTCGGCTATATAGAGTGTCATGTCTGCTGGAAGAACCAATGAAATTCGTGCAGGATTTACATATAGTACTTAAAACAGAAGGAGAGGCGCATAAAGCACGATATGAGAGTAGTTTTATTTGTTGTTAAATGTAAGAGTAAGGGAAGGATACCCGCAACGGATGTCTGCGGTGACTAATGCCATTAAAAGAGGTACCGATAACTGAACCATGAAGTGGAAGCATCATAAGCGTGCTATGATCAATACGTTCATGGGGCAAGCTCAATAGCCTATAAAGCATTTTACATTGAATAAGATACCAAGAATAATTCCCTACATGAATGCGACGAAAACTGCTAACAACAGGATCAGAGAGGACATTCAAACACCCTGTCCATCCTTCACAAGCAGATATACGGAATGAAATAGCCAAAATAGACACCTGAGAGAGACTCAAATAGGATCAGAACAAGAATGAGTAAATGAGATGACAAGAAGTTCTAGGCTCAAGTCCCTTAATAAAACCCTTCGAGAGCGAAATGAAATTAACCGGATATGAGATTCACAAGCATACATTTTGATTGGAAGAGTGTGTTTTCCTTTCTGGAATCATACGAAAGTTGATTCATTCACATAAGCATGGGGAACTTGAAGTACTAGTCATTCAGTTACGCACTTCACTTGAAAACTGAGAATCATTCCCAGGAGTGAGACCTTTTAGCCGAGGGACTGCATGAGTACCAAGCCATGACCAAAATGCCATAAACGCTACAAAAAATAAACAATGAGATATCTTGACGCTCCTGATTCTATCTTTAAACGACAGTGCTTTGTTCTGTTCAACACGAATGCGATCACGACGTAAAGCTTCTGTGAGGCTAAAACGCTGTTTCCCTTTTCTAAGATCACTTCTAGCGTGCGGCATGACACGCCGTCCAGCTGCGGTACTTTTGGACCCCCAAAAAGAGAGGCTTTTTGAGAACATTTCCACCCCGTCTTCAATTGGTGTCTCTTCTTTTGCTGCCTAGGGGAATTGAACAGCAGTCAAAATGTGGAACGCAGCAAACTAGAAATTTCAGCTAATAATTGAGAAGGGGATGAGAAAAGGACGTATTCTCACAACATTCGATAGTCCAAAGAATAAAAATTCTCAATATTTAAAAATAAAGCTGTAAAGGAAGGCTACTGAGATTTTCCAAACGTTTTTAAGACTTTATGATTTACAGATTGTGTAAAACGGAAATTAACGAACAAAATATATAAGGATAGCCGGGTAACTCATCACCAACCCAATAATAGAGGACCTCTCAAATCCTACTATAAATAGGTATCAAAAGTATCTGCGATGACCCAAATAAACAAAGCTAAACCTGCTTCGTGCATATATAGAACTATTCTGGAACCTTTCCCGTAGTAGCTGTGTGGGCCTGCTGCTGTTGTCTCGCTAGCTTCACAAAGTCAATTCCAGGGCACCAAGTTGTTTTGAGACGGTCAAACGACCAACGCAGGTACATATCGTCAACACACCCACAGTACCCAGCTGGTCGCCCTGAATGGCAGTGACACTTCACGATGATCTCGTCTGCCTGAGGGTCCGCTTCTTTTGCTTTGACTTCACTCGTTGGTAGGGCTGAACCGCTTGCGTTATCGTCGGCGGTCTCAAGGGATGATATCTTTGCACCCTCCTCAATGGCATTTTCCTTCGTGTCTTCAGCTGTCGAACTTTCAATGGGGCTGAGATTGAGAGTCTGATGCTTATCATTACTCAATTCCTGCGATGGAGCTCGCTTAGGCGATATCAGTGGTGCCATGTAGGAGATGGGTGGAAGGGAGGGGTCGCCATACAGGGCCACGTTTGGCATCGCCAAATCGGGAAAATAATCCTCCTCCGCACTTTCAGCAGGTATCAAATTCAAACAATCACCTAAATACCGCGGTGCTCCTTTCGCCAGTAGCCATTGTACAACTTCAGGGCTATTTATGGCAACGGCGGCGTGAAGTGGGGTGCGCCCCCATCGATCGTAAATACGCACACTACCACCATAACTGCTTAGCAGATCCATGATTTCAATCTGTTCAGCAAGTGCAGCAATGAATATGGGGCTGTAGCCGTGGCTCATCTCGTCCTCGGCAGGATTTTCATCCTTTAAGAAAGAAACATCATTGGGGTTAGCCCCTGCGTTGAGGCACTGGGCGCAGAGCTTTGTGTGACCAGTCACGACTGACAGCAACAGATAAGTTGCGCCACTCGCTGGGGATGCCGTTGCAACCCCATTGCGGAGCTCCGGGCAGTGTTGGTCTATAAAAACACTCACGAAGGGTAACGGTGCCGAAATTTCCTTGACAAACTTGTGAGGAGGAGAGGAAGTGTTACTAGTGGGTGCGCCAGGGGATGAAGCCTCTTCTGGTGGCCTCATCAGCTTGTCAAAAGACTTCATAACATTTTCTTCCTGGGTTGGAGTAAGCTGAACCTTATGTCTACTACGTCGAATTCCCTCAAATGCAATGAAAGGGATCGGCACAGACGTACAGAACCCCCGCGCGTGATGGCTTTGCTCACTGAAATTGTATCGGTCAAGGCCGAGAGCCAATCCATCTTTAACGCCTTGGCTTATAGCCAAGCATTCAAGCATCTGCTGCGACACCGAACTCGAGTTACTACCGCTACCGGGGGTTTTATTCGAAATCTCAACATTCTTATCGATGTTGACCCCAGAGCTTGCCTTAGCGCAGTGGTGCTGCGCACGCTGCACGGCTTTTTCTTCCTCGGCTGTACGAGGGCTGACGCTGTCGAGACTCAAGGCCTTATGCATGTGGCTACTTTTTCTACTCTAAGTAAAATAACAAAAGCGAAAATGATTCGCGCTGTTATTCAGGAAAAAGTTTTAGTGGAAAAGATGGGGAAAACGTTACTAATATTCCTCCGCTATTCTTATATACAAGTGTATCATAGTAAACCAAGTATATATGTATTCATTCATTCAAGGAAAGCAAAAAAATCAAATGCAAAGGTAAAAAGTACCAAAGTCTAGAAAGACAACTGGACTAAACCATTTCAGTTTTCTGTGCACATCTTTCTAATGTATGTTAAACCCATTTCAATAATGAACAACAATTTAATCACACAAAGAAAATGGAAATGAATACTGTTGTAAAGATGACGATACAAGCTTTTCTTCGACTTTTTTGTCTCCTTCTTTTTTGAATTCATAATTTGCTGCGCATTTACTCTAGTATAATTTTGTCATCGACAGCAAAAAATCGATTAAGAGCAGAAAGTAAATACGTATGTACCATAGGCTTGCAATACAATTTTCATCTTCATGTGTGGGAAACATTGCGTGTTCTCTTTCTAAGCCTCTAGAAATTCGTGAACAAATTTTACATTTATAATTTTATTTGCTCCTCTCCACCCGCTCATCTTTAGAATTCACTTGAGAGCTTACGATTGCGCTCTCATTTACTCCTGTCCGACGAGCTAGTTCGTTCTTCAGTGCACCATACCGATGGTATTCCGCTGAGAAATTACGGCGGTCATGACGGTTCGGGGGCTCCCCATACGCATGGAGAAATTCTGTCTCAAACCGATGTAAAACCTGCTTAATATGTCGTTTCTCAATCTGAAGCTCTGCAGTCGACAGTAGGTCAGGCGGCGTCGTTCCAAGATGCACCCGAGGCAAATTGATCTTTTCCCCGCGGATCGGTACGGACGATGAGGAAGCGCCAGGGGAGGCCGCGCTTGACTGTGGCCCACTGCCACGCGCCGGCCTTCCTGTGCCCAAAGGGACGGACCCCCGTTGGAGTGACTCGGCACCACCAGACTGAAGATGGCCACTGCCTGAAGGAACGCCCCCAATCGTCCCGGAGTCTTCGGACTGCAACAAGAACGGTTCGGCTGATATCACAGAGTTGTCATTCAAAAGACTCCCACGTTGACTTGGAGGCATGGAACGTGAGGTTTCAAAAACATCAAGACTTCCAGCCGCAGATCTGCGCCCACTGAGGTGTGCCTGCTGAGGCTGCTGAGAGTCTAGCATCACGACCTTACTCTTACTGGCTTTGTAGAGCTCATAAATAGAGCGAAGCATGGCCTTCTGTTGTGTGGGCACCTCACTCTGCCCGATTGCCTCTCGTACAGCTCCCTCCCATTCATGAATACGCTGCTTCATTTCTTTCTTGAAAGTTCGGCATTGTGTAGCAGACATCGTTTCTATAGCGGTCGGATAGTGCGGGTCCCCAGACTCCTTAGCAAGCTGGAGAGACGCAGCCTCACCACGGTAAGTTGCCAGAAGCTGCGTTGCAAGGAAATCTGGTGAAGGTGGGCGTGGGCCAAAGTCCTTTTCTATGCGATTCCGCTGCTCTGTCTGCAACGACCTTAGGGTGTCTACGGTGGCTTTACTGTGGACCCGAAAATCGATATCTACCTCATGGGTTTGCATGAAGGAAAGAGAATCTATAACTTGATATATAGCAATCGATAGCTGCTCATCCGTCATGTTAGTGATCTGTCTGCCAGTGTAACCCTCAGATGCCTAAAAAAGGTCGACAGGACCTATTGAAATATTCTCTGTATAGAACGCCCGCTAATGAGTGAGCAAAAGAGTAACTAGAATTAAACCGATCAGAAATAATTATTGTTATTCCTTCGAGAAAAGTAAATTAGTTAAATCTTTTAAAGGGCAATATAATACACAGGATTCAAACAAAAAGAGAAATGTATATATTATATACCATAACGTGTGCATATACACAGTCCGCAAAGGCACACATATATTTAAATATATTAAAAGATTAACGATATTTTTTCCCTCACAGAGACCTACCGTCTGCCCTTCTTTTTTGCATACATGGTGCATTAGTTTAGATATTGCACATGTTTTGGAGTACGACTGCTTCAATACAAGGTACATTGTGCGGGAGTTGCAAAGTAGAGTAAAATATAAGCCCAAATGGGGCGACCCCCTGGGATGACGATATTCAATGAGACTCTTGATATTTATTTAATACATTTTGTCTTATGAGGTTGTTTTCTCTCAGTGCATAGAACGAGACACCCTGCTTCAGCATACTGTACAGTAAAGGATGGGGTTTCAGGTGGCTCCCGTAGCGCTCAGCAAGGTTCTCCATACGTTGCACAACCCCAGGAACCCCACCTGGGACATGCTGCTCGATGAAGGTCAGGATACCCCCAGTAGTGACATCAAAACCCAAAGCATTTAAGCTCAGCAAGTCGATGTCTATCGAGGTACGCACCGCACCACTACCAAGCAGCTCACAAGATACGTTAAGAACAACAGCAATTAGACAGTCAGCGATTTCCACAGTTGTCATCTTGCGCTGAAGATACCGTTCAATCACAGTCAGATTTAAGGATGCTGACCTATCGGATTCGACAGAAACTTCAGAGACACCTTTTGAGGTCAATAAAAATGAGCTCGGCATTCTTTTCCCAGGATCAATATAGAAGCCTCCAGCAGTGCAAGTCTGACCAATAAAGCCGTCCGCCGCCATCTGGCGAAATGATCCTATCAAACCTGGAGATGTCTCCAGATCAATGAATGAGTGGAATGCATGCTTGCATTGACTTTCCACAGCACCATGTGCATGTGTCCCCTCTATATTCACCACAGAATCAAACATATGTAATATTCTAGGAATTCCGTAAATGTCCATAAGACGCAAAGGACCAAAAGTGAGCCCGAGATGCTCCACCGCCGCTCTTTCGACTTTCTCAGCGGCACAAACAGAGGCGAGTTGACAGGCCTCCAAGCAGAAGGCCTTGACCATTCGCTCCATCGCTGGGGTGGTACACACAACGTAAGGTGTGTAGATGCTCTGCAGGTAACACAGCGCTGCCGACGCATTGTCCCGCACGAGGCTCTCCGGCCATCTCGTCACCGCAAAGGTGCGGACTTGTTGCAGTGAGACTTGCAAACCGCATGTGTTGTGTATTAAAAAGCATGAGGCCGGTGAGATCAGCGTAGCGCATGGCAGCTTTTCAAGAACCGGCCTAGCATCGTAGTCATCCCCCGTCAGGATGACGCGAACATCGGGAAAAATATCTTTACCACCCTTTCGCAACACGTCTCGATGTTGCTCAATCAGGTCTAGGGTGTGCGAAACACAGATCGGGGAGCAGTCATAGAGCACAGTCGTACCCTTGGGAAGCTCCCCTGCCAGTAACGCCTTCGATTTCTCTCCCCACATTGATAACTCAGAGGCTTTGAAGCTAATGAAACTTCGAAGGAACGAGGCGCCGCTCCTACTCGTGCTTATTGTAGTGCTACTCTCAGACTCAAGTACAGTCGGTGGTTTTGAGGGGTATAGTGATACACGCTGACAGGCTACCACATGCTGCACCACCGATGCTGCATTCAAATGATGGGAAAGACTAACGTGTTGACGAAGGTATTGTAAACAAACGGAAGTTGCATCTCCCAAATCATAGGTCACTGCAGCAAGACAGTACTCATACCATTCACTGAGGATGGGGTTGATTGAAGCTACACGGCGAGCCCTCTGGAAAGATCCAGAAAGAAACAAGCGCTCCAAAGCCCACTGCCGACGAGTTGGATTCTTTAAAATTTTAGTTAAGAGAAAATATTCGGCACGGGCACCCCAACTGATTGGGGTCTTCCTGTAGCTAATGTTTGTATCACTAAATATTTCCTCTAGAATTGATTCAGAGCCATTGGACGACGATAATGCGCCGATGGGAGAAATATCATACAACTTATCAGAGCTGCCACATTTTACTACCCTTAGTAGCCCCATGGAGTCGAGAGCACTAATGTCATATTCCGCTAATTGCGGAATGAGCATTACTGCCGTTTCGACACCTTGCAGCAACCGTATAGCATTGATGGTCTGTGCGGCCGGAAACAATCCGTAAAGCAGAGAAGGGAACCCAATCAAGACTGACGGTTCCGGCGCTTCTCTCGAGCACTCAGATGGGAGTGGCATACTGGGTAATAAGTGTGGTTCAACGTCATCAGTCAACAGAGCATAGCGCCGTCTGCAGGCCAAGAATATCTCTGCACCCAGATCGATAGCATGTTGGCCGTATGTGAGAGTTGCAATGCATACATATCGTATCAGACTCCCATTATGAGCTGTATCAGCGCAACGCGAAGCCGTTGGATTTTGAAGGCGCTGCAGTAGAGAATTCTTTTTTGCCTCATAAGTAATACGATCGTTAGGGCTTAGCTCCAATGCATGCTGTATGGGGGAAAAGAAAGGAAGGTGTGGATGGGCGCATAGATGAACTACCACCAATGTTCGCCCGTTTTCAGAACTCATTTTGGATTGCATCTGCTCACTACCACAGGTTATTGGTGAAGGAGGGCATATGAATTTCTCAGCCTCATCAAGCGCAGAATGGATGCCTTCAATAAGTGACATGGCTTCGTCGATTTGCTCTGTCAGTTGAATTCTCAAGACAACATTAGAAAATCCTTTAACTGAAGTCACGTTAATGCAGCCACGAAAAGAAGAGCGATATTGTCGAAACCCAGCTTGAACCCCAAGAGGTAAACATTCGTTTAAAGCAATAGCGGACTGGTCCTCGCCTTGTACTGTGTTGGACTCATGGACTGAGCTGTGCGCAGTCGCTTTGGGGTCATCCCCACCAAGGGCTTCAGGCACCTCGTGCGAGTTCAGACTGGCTTCCATTTCAATGCTCAGCGGCGAGAGTTTTTCATGCCGCATCGAAACATCCACAACGTTGCCATCGCTTTTACACACATTATCCTCTGTCCCAGCAGCTTTTTCCGAGCATGCTGTCGCAGTCAACTTTTTTCTCATCGATGAAAAAGCGCTATCAGTAGTCGAAGGATGTGAAACATCTGGTCCCTTATTTTTCTGTAGTTGCACAGATGCGAGAGTTTTAGGATGATGCATGATGTGTGACGCACGCATGGCCTCATCGATGTGTGTTGAGAATGATTTTCGGAAGAAACCGTCTCGTGTTGTAAGTGTATCCTCCACAGCATCGGTTGTAAGCGAAGTCGACTGGGGCACCGACGAGACTGGTGCAATACACGTCTTTAGCTCAGAGTTTAACGGTTGGACGGCATAAGTAGCGGAATTTTCGTTTTCTATAGGATTATTAGTGAGTCCGAAAGAGATTTGGTTAAGATAAGATAAATCAACATCAATAGAAGAAACCGGATTCCTCAGTCTTGAAGGTACAAATTGTCTACCATTCTGATTGCGTAAAGACTGACTATGCGACTGCTTTTCATAATCCATAGCTTGGTATCTCTGATCAAGATGATCTTCACCAGTTGATCTACAGGTTGATTCCTTAGCGAAATTAACTCTTTCTGGTTCCGCCTTAGGTGGCGCTGGTGGTGTGGGTGCTGCTTTGGGTGGCACTGGTGGTGCAGCTGTCACTTTGGGTGGCATCGGTGGTGTGGGTGCTGCTTTGGGTGGCATCGGTGGTGTGGGTGCTGCTTTGGGTGGCATCGGTGGTGCAGCTGTCACTTTGGGTGGCATCGGTGGTGTGGGTGCTGTTCTTTGGGTGGCATCGGTGGTGCAGGCTGTCACTTTGGGTGGCACTGGTGG